GGAGTCGAGTGACTCGTCGCTTCCCTCGATTAACGAACATTTTATCACCACCTAGTCCTTTATCTAATTTTACCGAATGACCCTTATCGAATACCAGCGTTCATAAGCCTAATCATCCAACGTCCCAGCTGAGGATCATCTTCGCTATCCAGGATGGGCCCCAATTCGCTGCTTGTTCCACTCCACGACCCTCCAGCTGACCAACGTGACCCTGAATCTCTATTTTAATAAAAGAATTCCAGGCAAAATTATGCCATCCGTGATTTTCCTTGCAAGTCGGTGCACGGGGTCGGTGGTCGCGAGGAGAATGCCACAGGGACGCAGGTTGAATGGCTGCGAAACGCATTGGCTATCGAGTCCGAGAGAGACGGAGCTTCGAACGGAAAAGAGGAAGAGGGGTAGGTGGGTAAGAGAGAAATAAGGAGATGGTGTGTATAAGGGGGTGTGGCGGGGCGCGGGGAGACTGCAAGAGGGAGAGAAAGAAGGAGAGACCGGCTTTTATAATGGCGCGGCAGTTATACCGGTAAGCGAGTAAATGCATCAACGTGCTGCAAGCCGAGAGGAAGAGAAATAGACAACTCTCTGGCCACGAGTATGTAACGCGAAAAAGAACGACGGGGTTGGGTGATGGCGCGGAGGGGGATCGAGGAAAAGGGACAGAGAGATGCTCCTCGGGGTGTGGGCGGATTGCACGCGTCTCTCGGTAATGGATCCCATCGATCATCCCTCCGCGGGTAGATGGTTTCTCCTCCTTTCTGCTCTCTCGTGGATCGTCCATTAGTCAATTTCGTCGATTACCCATGGCGACTTCGTCGAATCGCGGGACCAGTCGAAAATAGTTGATCCGCGGTTCGGTGAAATCGGAGATGGACACCGGTTGATCTTCTATCATGGATCGCGATGGTCGTCTATTTACATACAGTGGCTCCAAAATGTTTCTGTATAGGGGTCCGTCCCCTGGGGTGGTCGATGGTGCTAGACCTCTCCAGAACAAGAGGACCCTACAGCAAAATTCCTTACAATTGCTGGAGACTAAAGTTTTACGAGGTTTCCGAGTACTTGCCTCGATGAAGTGTAATAATGGAGAGGGCTTGTCTTTCCATTTCCTTTCCCGGTCGGCCTGTGTGGGTTCGTTAGAATAAGAACCCCTTATGGTAACTGGTACTAATAATCAGTTATTAGGCGCCTGTTTGTCGTTTTACAAACCCATCACCTTCGGATGGGGTCGGGTATGGCCCTCAGGCATAGGTACCGGACCTTTGGATTAAACTTATGGAGCACTCTGTTTCTGTATGTTGTACTCTATTTCCTTTTGGTCGTTGCACAGGGTGTTCGGTAACTGATGGCACGAGCGTCGAGGGGGTGAATCTACGTGAAAAAGCGAGTCGAAAATATGGAATAAAACTTTTTCATGCGAGGCTTCGTTTTCGAGAAAACCGACCTTGAATTTTTGGTGGATACGGGTGCACCTGATTGTGTCTTGTTATGACACATAATGAAATATGTAGAATGTTGAAGTAATCATGAAGTTTATTATTATAGAAATTACTGAACGTGTTGCCCATTCTGCCGAATACATACTTCTTCTCTTCTAATTTTTATATTCTATATTTTATATTCTAAGTTCACGTTGGTCAGTGGTTCTCGGACCTTGAAGGTGATAACCTAAAGAAGCTTTCATTATTTTTAGGCATTTGGCGTGGAACTACACTCACTAATCGGATAGCGTTCGACATTGACCTTATTATTGCACTGCCAGACTCCGAGTGGCTAATTTTGTCACGCGAGCTGCCGATGTGAAGCTTGTTAGGTGACCCAGTCATCGATATTTCTCGCATATTTCATTGAATATTTCCATATTTCAATAATTCCAACGTTTCCAATATTTTCTACGAGCTTAAATATTTTTAACGCCACCGCTTAAAGATGAGGGATGATGAATATCTTATTATTTAAGAAGCTATAATTATCAATAAAAAGTATGAGATTCTTCTATCTATAAATTACAACAAGAAGCAAAGGTCAAACTTGAATAGCATCGTCTTTTCGTAGTAGATTATACAAACGATAATCACTCAAGTGGATTTAAAAATAGATTCGAAAGTTTTTTGATCATTTATATAATCAAATTAATATCATTGTATTATCAGGAAAAAAAACACACTTTAATTATCACGGAAAGAAGTGAGATTATTCTATCTATAAATTTTAATACGAATATTAAACTTACGTAACATCATCTTTTCGTTACTTTCGTTCTTATTTTCGCGGATAAAATTAAAGAATTGAGACTTAAATGAAAGTATGTGTCATCTTCTGAACAGTGTAACATTTATTTTATTATTGATATCTTATATATTTTCTCCTACCATACGTGCATAAACATCCCTAGTCTACTGATAATAACACAATCAAATAGGCGAAAGAAATGACACGTAACGACTAGAAGAATAACTTGAACTTTACACTGAATTTTGAATCGAGATATAACAGCCGCGACGATCCACCAAAGAATTGGAACAATTAATCGACGCCAGGGGGCTTGAAATTCCTCGGAGAGCCTGATGCCCTCGCGTTGCATTTTTGGAGGACTTATTGCCTGGTGGATTTATGAGCGGGTGGCTGGCTCCGGCGCGAGCGAGACCATCCGTTTCTCCATCCACGCGACCGCCTCTTGTTCCACGGAGATGAAAATGGAGTAATGCCGGGAGCGATTCTGTGATTTACCGTGGACCGAGACCCACAAGGGGATTCAGCACACGTATCGTAAAGCGTGCAGTCGGGGCCCATTCCTGCGGCACAGGATTCTCTGGAAATGCCACCGTGATTTGTGTGACCGGTTACCGTTTCCATTAGCATACTCCTATCGGCTCTTTCGTACATTGTTATTCTTCGTCGCCGCGTCATGCTCTCTAGTAAGCGCAACATGGACCAATACCGGTAGTCTTCCTTCGTTTCGACGCGGTGAATTTCGTTATTGATGACGCTGTCGAGAAAAATTAATCGACTGGTCACCTTAATGAAACTCTGCTTAAAACAAAGATTCTGTACCAAATGTATCGTAAGGAGAAAGAAAGAATCCATACTAGCATTGAACCAATTGATCAATATAGTCTCATAATGCAGTAATCGAGGGGTGTGATGAAATAAGAAGGTAGCTCCATTTTTCTATGGTTTTGGGGTTTGAACACAATTACGGATTTAAAATATTCTTTTTCTTTTTGTGGTCCAATAAGGAGGAAAATTTTTAAAAAATTCCAAAAGTTCCCTTTCCAAAAATTCGCAGTTGACAATTTTGTGTCCTTGCGTATGAAAATCCATTGGTTAATTGTTTTGTATTGATTATTCCAATCGAGTATAAGCTTACCTAAAATTAATTATCATCCGATCTCAACAAACGTTTTCCGTTAAAATAGTGAAAAAGTTCTAAATATAACATACTTTTAATGTTATTCGAAAGTTAACACGAAATAACAGTCGACTTAATTCTCAGAATTTATATTTAACGAGTCGCGAGTTTATTACACATTGCGTTAGTTTAACATAAAAATAATCTCATTGGAACGCTTAATTTATGTACGTTTTTATGCAAAAATTGTGTTATTTATATTCAGTAACATTTACGATCTTCGAAACATACCCAAAATATTGTCAAAGTTAAAGAAGAATTAGTACAATTATTCTCCATAAAAAAAAATTACGAAAAACGCTTGAAATTAGAACTTTTAATATGGTTTCACCCCTCAAGTGATTTTAATATGGGTTAAAATGATCTGCTTGGTAATTTTAATGTCAATGTAATTTTGTTTACTGTCTGGTAATCAACGTGTTGAAGTGACGTATCGAAAAGTAGCGTGACGTATTTGTATCTGTTCTTTTTTTCTTTTGTCGTAGTGAGGACGCTGGGCGTAGCGGCGACGAAATGAAGCATGCAGCATGCGTGGTAGCGGTGTCACGGCTGCGCGGTCCTGCCTTCAACCCCTGGTGTCCGCCAGCCGCTACCTCGCCGTTCAAGCCCTTCCTGGTGATCCTCTTTACTTCGTCGTTGAGGTGAGTATAGTCAGCCGCGTCATCAACGAGACAACGAAAGGGAATTATTCATGACAATGCATATTCGAGATGTTTATAACCGTTTCCATCTCGTTCCGTTACGCATGATCATTTCTGACCCTTTAACTGTGCGACCATTTTTGCTGAAAATTCACTCGACCAGTGTGAAATTTGCAAAGTGCACGTTCAAAGCGAACTACTTTTCTAAACAAATGCAGTCTGAGCTTAAATTTTTTAGGACGAATTATACACAAAATTTAAAACATGATTTTAACTTTCGAATGATAACATTCAATCTTTCAATCATTGTAATATAAATTACTTGCACATTATAAATTATATCAAACGTGATTATAATTTTTGAAATTTATGCTATTGGGTCGAGGGAACAAGTTCTCTTACAATTTCGATTCTATAGCTAATTGTTCAAAGTAATTATACTCTTGCACGAGCTCTGTATTTTCGTCTCGTGGTTTTTGGTTTGCTCCATCACAGTCACTTTTTAGAAATTTTATTTTATTTTATTCATGCGAAATACTATGGAATACTAAGCTTCAATGTTGTGGATGTGTTGTTCTTTTTGATAAATGTGTTTCATGTCAGGAAATAATTATGGAAAGAACTTGTATTAAAAATAATAGTACAGTGAAGTAAACTTGGAAATAATAGATGTGCTGCTTTGCCATTTCGCAAAATATGTATGCCACATTATAGGTTTCCCTGTGGACGTAGCACTTTTTCGAATATTGTTCAGCATAAAATGTTTCTACCCCGATATAATTGTAGGTTTCAACTAGGTTTTACCAGGAAACTAGTTAACATAATTCCTCTTAACAATTTAAATGCAAGTTACAGTAGAATGCCAAGAGAAGATCTAACTTGTAACTAGCGAGAACCAGTTAAAGCAGATAATGCCATGGCATCGCCGATGCTTATAAATATTGAAATAAGTAGAAACAGCTAGTAATGGTCAGACGCGTCAGACAAGTACCGAATAGCAAGCGTGGACCAAGATCTTCAACATCGATTCTTTCAAAAACAGAGCAACGTACCAAAAACATTTATTGTATATTTTTCATCGATCTCTTAATTAGTGCTTACAAATTTTTATTTTAGTCAGGTCTGACCGTTATGATCAAGACAATTTAGTCTCCATATGATTCGATAATTTTGGCAGCGCGCTAAGACGACGCCTATAGGCTTCAGAGCGTTGAACACATTTTTATTAAAATTGATGGAAATACTGTTTCAAGTATGTATTTTAAATAGATATATCGTTAGAAAAAATTCCTAAATATCAGTACTCCCTTAACCTAAAAATTAGTGATTCTTATTAAGCTACACAAATATGTAAACATATTTACAAATTAGCGGAAAGAATTATTAATACGAAATTACCAGAAATATAGTTCAAAAAATGTACCTTTATTATATATAACAAATATTAATATCACATATTCAGTATCGGTAAAAA